AGAAGGAACTCAAATTCAATGATATTGATAAAACGTAAGACCGGAACACGAGACTCTGATACAAAGTTATCCAAGGTCCACTAATCTAGACATAGCAAGGTGGTGAATAGGTCTTGTACAATAATTCAATTTTTTTGTCAATTTAAAATTATATGCTTGAATTATAACAATATAAATCGGCAATATATATAACCATGCAATATATAAAAACATGCAATCCACATAAAATAAAGCAGTAAAGTAATAAATATGGAAACCAGATTTTTTTACGTGAAAACCGTCAAATAGAGTAAAAAAACCACGGGACCTAGTTTAGGCAAACCAAGTCCATACTATAGAGAGAGTGATTAACAATCTAGGTTAACAGGTCAGTACTCTCGAACCCCTAGTTACCTCTAGAAACAGGTAACACCAAACTTGAAGTCACTTCCGAAAATCTCCAGGTCGTTATTCTGCTCGTCTACAACACTCGCTCCTCACGGACCTAATTCTCTAATAATTGGTCTCAACCACTAGTCGTCCAAATGCCAATCTCATCATGAATTGATTGGATGTGTTGAATAAACATTAAGTGTGCGACAGCATATGTATCAACACATGCATGAACACTCACGATCACTAAACATGATGACAAATGTAAATAAAAAAGCACAAAAAATCTCACAAAATTCTTCTCTCAAAAATAAGTATATGAGATGTAAGGAGAGCTCAAACTTGTGTATAAAAACTCTTGTATATAAAAATAAATAAATAAATAAACCTCTTGTATATCTCCAATGTGTCTCTTTTAGGTCTTTGCTCAGAAGATATGTATTTATAAATAGTCAAGAGATGTATTTCAAATTAGGATTTTCAAAGAGTTTAAGTCCTTTAGAAAATTGCTTTTTCGAATCTCTCAATTGATCAATTGAGATAAACACCTATTGATCGAACTTATTCCAGACTGATTTGGTTGATAACTCAATTGAACTTTCTGCAAATTTTGATTACAACAATTTTCATTTTAAAACCATGCATAATTAAATATATTTGGAATCAAAATAAGTTAGAAACTTTGAAATTAAAAAACCATAAATACGCAATGCATGTACCTAATTTGGTGAGTATGCAATATAGTGTAAGATTACTTTTTTACTCTTCTTGATGAAGATTACCATTTTGACCGTTGATGTAGCATGTAGTCCATCTTCAGCTTTAGGTGGCATCTACATTTAACTAACTAAACTAGAAATTAACAAAAGTACATAAACAATTTTAATACAAAATTTGCCAACTTAGTTCTATTGACCTATCTGACATGAGTATAAGATAGATGAAACCCTTTTCTTTTACTACATCCCATTTAATTTGAGTAATAACTGAATATATTCTTATAAAACAACAGCATTAAAACTTTACACATTACCGTGGGCCTTGGCACACCAGTAAGGTGGCTCCATTGTGCCCTAGAGGTAACGGGTTCAAACAAGGAAACAGCCTCTCCGCAAGTGGAGATAAGGCTACACACATCTGACCCTCCCTAGACCTTGCAATGACGGGAACCTCATGCACTAGGCGGCCATTTTTTTAGTATGTGTCTCAGTACCCATATCTAACTTTTGGACACATATCTCAGTATAAAAGGTTTCAGATTCAAGTAGATCCGACACTAGACACACACCCCAACTCGATACGCATATCTAAGTTTAGACAACATAGCCTGCATCAAGCAGTGGTTGAAATGGCAATCTCGGTGAAACAAAAGGTAGCTAACGAGAGTTTCATAATAAACCCTATATCAACCATTTACTCAAATTCATATACATGTGCAAATGGAGAACATGTGTGGCACACTGTAACAAACTCAGTAGATCATGAACACTTCCTTAAAACATTCTATCACCATTTTATATATAACTAGAACTAAACCTTTGGAAAATAGCATATGAAATACCCTATCTATTTAATCTCCATTATAAGTGAGGACGGAACAGTCAGTTACATCTTTTGACATTCTGCAAAAAAGATTTGAAATACAGATACTGTTCAAGTTGTAATTCAACATAATCTAAAATATTTTTCACATTTATACAGTTAAAAACGGCAATTTATTTATGGTCAATCAAGCTCTCTACTTGAAAAGCAACATTAATGTTAGTTGGCAACTTCTCCAAAAATTGTTATAGAGAAGATTCAAAGAACAGCCACCGTCTAAACTAGTGTTCCACATAGTTCAGATTTGCACAGTTACAAACAAGATTTTCCTCATTATTGGTGATACTAAATTATTTAATAACAAATTGTGTAAAATCTTAAATTTAATAACTTAAAGGGAGATGACAACACCCCACTAAGCAACCATCACTCTCTTTCAAAACTACAAGTCTTTGGAAAATAATAAAAGAATAAAAGGTCAAAAAAACCATTCGAAAATTCAGTCCTGGCTCATTACACCTACATTGCCATGCAACACCGCGAATGGCTTACCGCCTCAACTTCTAAGAGAACTTATGCACAGACACAAAAGTTCTTCCAATCTATTAATGTTGCTGCCACGTCAGAGTTAGGCTATCAACAGGTCAGATTCATGATTAATGTGCCAGAGTGCCATGTTTGAGTCCACGTATATTACATGATGCTAATTAAGTTCAAATTCAATTAACGTATGAAAATCCAGATTCGACCTGAAACCGATATTAATTAAAAAAGAACTAAGATTTTTACATATAATTTTCTATCATGCTATATGTATCCTACGAAACTATTAGGCTCAAATCTTTGTTGGAAAGAATTTACATGTTCCAAGATCAAGCCAATTATAATTAAAATTCTAAAAAATGGTTTCATATTCGAACTTGCAAACTTAAATCAGTGGAATGGATTCCAGACTGACGTGTATCTTAATTAAACCAGTCTTACAGTCCTAAATGTAGGAAAGAGAAATTCCAGCAGCGGGAATGCCACATGAGTACATGACTAAGTGGCCATGAAATTGAAGAAGGTTCGGGAGCTGTGGTAGCATCAAACTAAGTGGCCACAAGGGTATTTATTATGATCTTCGAAGCGACATTTATTATTATTTTTTCTTTTTTCGGGTAAAGGGATTAGGTTATAGCTGCTCTTGCCATCTCCATTAGGAATGAGCAACGTTCAAGCCCCACTCGGCCAGAAAAATGGGGGATGGATTGGCTATGGAGAAATTTTTCTTTCAAAATAATTAGTGTAGTTCTTGTTTTCTACTTCTAGTTCGTTAGTTACCAAACATAAATTTCTAGAAAGTTACTTCTCTTTCTTTTTTTTTCGCTTTTTTGGGAATAGAAAATTAGAGAAAAATGTAACCATTGTATTTTGTGAAACTGGATGCCATGGACATCCATGTGGTGAGAATAATGATAGGTATGCCACACGATTCAACCCTCCTAAAGTTCTTGAGCTCCTAAGTACTTAGCTTTAAGTACATTGTTAAGTCATATGAAGAATTGCAACACTTTCCAGAACTTTCTTTTTGAACAATGATTGAACTAGAGAAGTACACAATAGTTCATAGTGCTTCTATGGTGAGATACACTATAATACACTATATTATGTTGAGATCAACCAAGATTCTTCATCAAGAAATATATTTCTTCTTCTTCTTCAAGTGAAATGTTATGCCTCAACCTCTATACCTTTCTTTCTTTATATATTTATTTACCATTTCACATGTCAGAGGAGTGACTGATACATCAGCCAGAGTAATGCAGCATCACGCACTGGTTTAATTGGTAAATTGAATAGAACAAATGCTTAGCCATAGAGAGCTTCACAAGAAATGTCGTGTCAATCCAAACTCAAAATTGCACACCCAAATGCATGGAGTGTCTGTGTACACCTCAATGAGCATGGAGAGAGAGAGAGAGAGAGAGAGAGAGAGAGAGAGAGAGCACCTTACAGAACTTAAAGCCACTACCATTTCCTTAAGACACGCTACCAATTATATATATATATATATATATATATATATATAACCAGAACTAAACCTGTCAGTTAATCTTCATTATAAGTAACAACACATTGGAACGAGGGGACTAGACGTGCCCAATGGTAGATTATGGGATACCCTGAGAGGCCCAACACAACCATTTGGGGGGAGAGAGAGAGAGAGCACATTAGTCAGTGACATATTTGACATTCTGCTAGTAGAATATCAAAAACAGCTACTGTCCAATGTCCAAGTTGTAATTTAACATAATTTAATTTTTTAAACATCCAAGCCGTTATAAATGGAAATTCCTTTAAGGGCAGCTAAACCTTTATCTTTCATCATCAGTAATACTGAATTAATTAAATAATGTCAGGTGTAAAAGTTCAAATGAGGTAAAATGCCACCACCAAACCAAGCAACAATAGCATCCCTCTATCTAAAATTGCATGTCTTTGAAAAATAAGAAACGGGATAGGTACAACAATTCCTAAGTTCTACAGTGGCTAAATCTCACACGCACCCAATCATGCAACACCGCGAATAGACCACCTCCTCAACTCTCAACAGAGCCAATGCAGACAGACAAGTTCCTCGCAAAAACCATTGCCGTATACGGTCGAACAGCAAATCAACCAAACCTCCAATTTCAAGAATACAACTAAAATGCTCTTAAACCACTGACAGAGCCAATAAATACACAAATTGCCCTATCTACCTTTGCAACATTATCATATACAGTTGAAAAACATATCCACTATTGTTGTCCACATACCAAATCTCCAATTGACTTATTATGGGGCAAATTTGGGCTATATTCAAAAATAAAAATAAAAATTAGCATATCAACAAAATAAAATTTTTAACTTCACTCTGTACCCAAATGAACCATTACATCAAAAAGCCATTAAATTACAATATAAATTAGCATTAAACAAATCCAATCACACAAATTAGACATTGAGACATGTATTGTGTCTATATATATGGAATAAAAACATACATAGAAATAAAAAAAATAAATAAATAAACAACAAAAAAGTTGGAAATTGAAACTCACGCAATGTTATTGCCACGTCCATCCGCCGTTGAAGCCGAAGCAGCCGAACCTGGGCCCTTCCCACTGAATACAGCCCAAAGAGTCCGACAGACTGAGAATGCGGAGAGCGCTGTGAAGGCCAGCCAAAGCCGCCAAGCTCCAAACCACATTGAGGCCTTCCAGATGAACCGGAGCTTGGACCGGACGCCGAGGTAGACCAGACCGGTCCACCGAGAGCGCCAGGACCATCCAATCACCAGCCCGATCACCACCGCGAGCCATAAAGGCACTGAACATAGCAAAATGTCGACGATTGTCTCGAAGATCGCTGATTTTTTCACCAAATCCAAGAAACCCTCTTCCATTGCTGTGGAATTTGAAGTTACGGTAGCAGAAAAGGGTTGTGTGTGAACCTGAAAGTGGAGGTAGAGATAGCATTTGAGGAAGAGATAGGGATGACGATGACGACGACGAAGGGATTAGGCGGTCCGCTGGTGCGTTATGTGACGTGGCGATGCGATTCCGAGGCAATGCAACTACCGCCATTTCGCTCAACACGCGTTGGTGGCGCAAGCGGTGGCGAACTGCCAGAAGTGGCAGTGCATGAAGGTCACCTGTTTTTTCGTGGGAGTGTCTTTTGATTTGCGTCCACGCGCTTCATGGCTCGTGCCTCTCAGGACTAGTTTGGTGCGGTGATCGGAATAGAATGGAAATAGAGGTGGGAATGGAATGAGAATGGAATAGAGTTTGAATTATGATTCTCATTTTCTTGTTTGATTGCAAACCTAAAATGGAATGTATAAAAGTAAAATAATAATTTCCATTTATTTGTTTGGTTGGACTAAAAATAAAAATGGATTAAATTTATAATATTTTACCTTATTCATCATTTATATTATTTTCTCTAAATTATCTTTATCATTAATAAAAAAAAAAATTAACTAAAATATTAACATCAAATTTTTTCCAATCCAGTGGATAGAAATAGGTATGTAAGAATGAAATTGGGGCAATAGATAGAAAGAGAAAGTAGAAACTGGGCAAGTGAAGTGTTGGAGATTAGGGTGAGAAAAGGCGATGAAAAGAATGGTGATCCGATTTACAAACTTCAGTGCGATCGGGTGAGGACGGATCTGATTTGGAAAGAATGGTTTCAGCAATTCTTTCACAAAATCAATGAAAAAGCTTATGTAAACAGATTTGGAAAGTATCACGAAAAAGCTTCAGATCTTTTTTTTTTTTTTTTTTTTTTTTTTTTAACTTACCAAAAAATAAAAAAAACTTCAGGTCTACTTTTGATTTTTTATTGTGTCTTGGTCCATCACTTTGAAGTAAGATCAGGTGGTGGGTTTGATGGAGGAGATGATGATGCCGGTGGTAGGTTTGATGGAGGAGATGATGACGCCGGTGGTTTGATGGAAGAGGCGATGATGCCGGCGGTGGGTTTGATAGAGGAGATGATGATGCCGGCAGTGGGTTTGATAGAGGTGATGATGCCGGCGATGGGTTTGACAGATGATGCGATGATGCCGACGGTTTGTTTGATGGAGGAGATGGTGATGCGTGGGTTTGTAATTTGTTAGGTTTTATTTTTTAATATTTTTTTAGTTTGTATTTTTCTAAAGTTGGGATAGAATGGTCATTCCTTTTGTGAAAAGGTGGAATGATTTTGATGGAATGACCATTCTCCAAGAATGGTGGAGAATGACGATTCCAAGTTTAAAATTAGACACCAAATACAAGAATGGAATAAAAACCATTCCATTCCACTTTCTTTGCATTCCATTCCACCGCACCAAACTAGGCCTCAGAGTAATTCCATTCAACTGCAGGTTATTTTGGTGAAGAAGATATTTGAAATGAAAAAATTAACGCCGACTGTTAATATTAATTTAAAAGGTCAATGAGTTATTTTAAATTGACAATTATGCCCTTCGTGGGGGCCATTACAAACGAACAAAATTGGAGCTTAGGGGTAGGCGTTGTGTTTCCGGACGTTTTGTTTTAGCCTAGAACAGAACAAATGTTTTGTTATGTGGTGTTTTGAGATGAGAACAAAACATGTTTGACAAGGAAAATTTATAACGACAATTTTGGAACACAAACATGGTAGAACATGTTTGGCAAGAATTAAAACATCCACGAACCCAATCTCTTTCTCTCCTTAAAACCTCCACGAACCCAATCTCTCTCCCTCTCTTCCTCTTTCACTCTTTCCTCGCACCCATCTCACTCTCCTCTCATCGCCTCCTCTATCCCTTCGAGCAACACCTAGATCATCTTCGATTACAGCATCCGCCACCACTGGCCCCATAGAAGTAGAGCCGCAAACCGCCGCTGCCACTCTGTCCAAGTCCCTGCCTTTCCGGGTCGGCTATGACTTCGACCTCCACAGATTGGAACGAGGGTACCCCCTCCTCATCGGTGGCATTGATATCCCTCATGATACAGGTTGTGAGGCTCACTTCGATGGTAAATCAAACGACGTAAATGGGTTTTGATTTTTTGAACAATATGAAATGATATGCCGATACGGGTTTTGATATAGGTACTAGGTTTTGAACTTTTGATTCTTTCAGACAGATAGATAAACTGAAATATATGGGTTTTGAACTTCTGATTCTTGTAGATTTTATAGTTTGCAAAGGCAGAGAGAGAGAGAGAGAGGGGGCAAGTTCAAAGTTAAGAACGAGAATAGAGATGGATTTGAACTTCTAATTTTTGTAGATTTTGTAGTTTGCAGTTGCAGAGAGAGAGGGGGGGCAAGTTTAGAGTTGAGAACGAGAATAGAGTTGGAGGCAATTGGGAGGCTGAAATGATTTGCCCTAAAAAAATTTATTTTTGCCCCCGTTATAGTAAAAAATGGGCATGGAACAACATAAAATACCAAATTTTTTTTTCAGCTTTTAGGCCAAATAATAGATTTGTTCTGATACTGTTGGGAATAAAATAAGTCTAGACAAATATGATTTGGGCAAAAAAAAAAAGGGTATTGTAGCAGGCCTAGAACAGAACAAAACAAAACACATACCAAATAGGGCCTTAGCCCATCTATGGTTGATATTTGTAGTAATAATAGGAGTACTACGTTTGTAACTTAAGTTGAAGAATGCCATATAATACCTAAACAAGCTAAAGTAATTTAAGGCTTCGAATGAATGCAGAGCCAAGAGTTGATGTTAATGGAAAAGATGTTTGTTGAGAAGACAACTTGGAGCTAGCATTAAGTGGTTAAAAGGGCATTTTGGTCATTAGTGGTTAAAAGGGTATATTGGTTATGTAATATTTAAAAGTTAACACATGACAAGTGCTTGCTATTGTCCTGCTATTTTTTTTAGGGCAAACAAAAGGATTGTGGGTGATATGGTGGATTTTTAAAAAGTAATAGAGGTTTAAGATGGTTTTTTCAGTATAAGAGGTTATATAAATAATTATCAATAATATAAATCATAATTAAATCAAGCAAGCCTACATCCTTAGTAGGGAAATAAACTATATATATTATTCTTTACCCGCAATGAGATGCATTTAGAAAGGGCAAGAAATTGTGCCTATATCTTTCTTTTCCTTTTTTCATTTTAATTAGGGTAAATTACACAAACCTCTTCTGAAGTTTCGTCAACATACACAAACCTCCCTTCTTATTTGTCAAATTACATAAACCTCCTCTAAGGTTTCGTCAATATACACAGACCTCTCCTCTTGTTTGCCAAATTACATTGAGTTTAATACTTACATATTGTTATGGTTTATGCTACTAGAAACCCTAACAGTTTGATTTTGGGGTTTTAGGGTGTAATACCCCTATTTTACATAAGTTTATTTAATTTAATTTAATTTATTTAATTAATTTATTTGGCTAATTACTTATTTAAATTGTTTGCGTAAATTGTTTAAGTGTTGATTTAATTTAATTGGATATTTAATTGTTTATCTAAATTGTGTATTTCTTTGTTAATTTGTTTGTGATGTGGTTTATTTGACATTAATTATGTATTTGTGTTTGTAATTGTTTATGTATTTGTGGTTGCAAGTTAATTGTTTGTTTATGTATTTAATTGCGTTCTTATTTGTTTTATTATTATTATTATTATTCATAATTAGTGTTGTATACGTGGAAAAGTTAAGTACATATGCACAGAGGGCATACCCTCGGAATAGAGCCAAACAAATAGCCATTAGCCATTACAAGAAAAATATGAGTAAACCTATTTCCAATACAAAGAGAACACCCAAATCTAGGACCTACTGAAGCAAATCTTGGAGTGAAACATTAGTAACATCAATGGCCTCAAATAAAATCTGTCTAGCTACCTCTTGGGGAAGTCTTGCAGCTGAACCATGTAGCCTACCATTTCTCTCTTTCCATATACCACACAAATCAGCCACCAACATACACTGAAGAAGCTTATTAGAGTGTTGTTTAAACCATACCACCAGATCCATAAAATACAGAATAGCAGAAAAATGATTCACATCCCAACCTAAGGTATCTCCCAACCAGCACCACAATTCCTTAGCAAATGGACAAGTAACAAAAACATGATCCCTAGTATCACGTTCAGCTTTACAAGTAGTACACATCGAGGCTAGATGAATGTTTCTCCTCTGCAGATTAACCATAGTGGGAAGTTTATCTTGAAAAACAAAGACCCCGTGAACAAACCACAAAGGTCTAGCCTTACCCAGCATAAATTATACCAGTCCACTTCTTCAACAGATCCTTGGCAACTAAACCAGGCCTTCTTGAAAGAAAAGGTGCCCCCATCCCATAACATTTTGTATTATCTATCAAGTAGAAGAATGCTAGATACATATTGCTTGGGAGGATCGAAACTTTCTTCCTGCATCAGCTCCAAATTCTTACTCCCATTAAGTATAAGATTATTGAGAGTTGAGTCCCAAGTTAGCCCTAATCTTCTAACCATTCTATTGCCAAATTTCTAAATCAATTTTTGACCATCACACCACAGATCCATAAGAGTTTTGAATAGCTCCCCAGTTCCAATAGAGAAATTGACATGTTACTGCATTAGTTCTCTAATGTTAACCACAGATTTACAAACAACAGATTGAGAAGTCCTAGGAACCATATTACAATAAGATGCCTAAGATAAATATATGTTCTTAAACCAATAGACCCACAACCTATCTTTGCTGATTAAGAAGTCCCAAACTAAGACACTTAAATGCAACTTACAAGTCCTTCAACTTCCTTATTGACGACGGCCGTTCCAATACGCCAAACTGAATGTAGTGAATGTGTGGTTCAAGAAAAGCCTTTTATGTCAAATTTAAATTTATAAAAACCACTACCAACACTACTACTAACGTAGCAAGAGTGAGTAGGGATCGTCCCAAGGGATTATATGTGTTGGAATATCAACTTCGACTCTAGCGTACCAAATGATTGCAAAAGATAATTGGGTTGGTTGATTACTTCTAGAAAAGGATTAATTAAAATGCAATAAAATAAAGAGTAAGTAAGAAGGAAAGGTCTTGGGGTGTAGAGATCACCACCAAACAATACTATTCCAAACCATAATCAAGTGACTAATGAGGGAAATGAATGTGTTGCAACAATGTTGTGTGTGTAAAAGACATTCAATTGGTAAGGGTGACTCAACAAGTGCAAATTGTCTCAATCAACATGTGTGAGGCCACAATACATCTATTGGTAGAGGAATATATTGTCTAGACATCATGTGAAGGGAACAAAATATCAAATCAAGTCATTGAACCTTTCATTAAGCTCATAGTCCAAGCA